TCAAGTAAAGTAGAAAATGTAGAAACAATATGCTAAATCATGTTGATTTTCCAGGAACCATTACTTGAATCAAAGGGGTAATACTCCCAACTGCCCAAGTCGTGGCGAAATCCCAAAAATCTTGAAATTAGCTTGGGGGAAGGCTTTTGTGGAAGTCGTGGCGATGCGGCGTTTAGCTTGTGTTTAGGGTAGGTTGCTGTCTTACTATCTCATGTAGACCTAAAGTGGCGAAGCGGCCTTTAGGTTGTGTTTGGGGTAGGGCGTTGTTTTACTATTAGCATAGTGCTTTAATCTTGCTAGTTGCGTTCTCATTGTGTTTGGGATGGTTGCTGTTGGGTTCTGCAGCTACTGGCGTCTTGCTGTTGCTGCGGCTGCTGGTTCGACGGCTGCTGCTGTTGCTGTTTCCGGGTACTTCTACACAACGCTGGGATTATCATCTCTACACTGCCATGGCGGTGTGCTGGGATTCTGCAAATTGTCATTGTTTCGCTACCAGTGATCCAAGGAAGGGCAGGTTTGCGGCTTGCGGGCCAAAGTCCATGTGTGTAGATGCGGGGCTTTTTCCGTACCTCGTTTTGACCTCGTTTTGGACCTCGTTTTTTTCCTTTATCAGAACCCATCCTGCAGTATACAAACTAGGAAAAGGGCCTGCTTCGCGTTTTTGTTTGTGGGCGTCAGCAGTGCCCACGAAAAAAGGCCCGTTGGAAACCGGCGTTCCGATGGGATTCGATCAAAAACGAATAGAACATAATAGAACCATGATAGTTTGGTCAAGGCTTGTTAAAGCTAGCGTTTCCAATGGGGAAAGGGGTTTTGCAAGGTCTGTGCCGGGACAGGGGTCGTGGCGAGCGTTTTGATTGGGAATAGCTGTCAAACGCAAACATTGCAAGGACTTGGGCGTATGGGTGTATTTGCAAGTAAAAATTGTTATTGACAATGTTGACAGGGCAAACCGGGTCAATCTTGGAACACGCAATGGTAGTTTGTGGTGAGAAAGAACTAATGTCTTTTCCCCACATGCCACCACATTGAAACTGTTGACGCTTGAAACTTGAAACCATCTTAGAATCCAATTGGGATTACTATCGCGCCATACCAGTTGTAATGCTGTTTCAATCCATGAAAGGGTGTATCAAACAGAAACATAAACACATACCTGTCCCAACGCAGTTTTTTGCCAAATGCACCATACAACGCGGCGAATACTCCCACACGCGATACCCACAAGTTGCCGGATCCAAAAAATATGTTCCCCAAACAAAGCCATGTGGCTGATAGCCTTTGCGGGTGAGTTGGGGGATGTTGTTAGCAGGCCTTTGCCACATGGAATTCTAGACACCTCAGAGGATACCCAAGTCGGGGGATTCCCCCCAAAAGTCCGGACTGGTGTGTGCCTGAACTTTTTTCTGTTTGTCCAGGTCTGTCCGGGGGGAGTCTGGGGAGTCCGGTTTCTTCGAGCCTATCAGCTTAACCCTCCTAAGATGTAAATATGAAAGGAAACTATTCCTTAAATGCCAGAAACTAGTTCCTAAATCCTAGAAATTATTTCTTCAATCCTAGAAATTATGTCCTAAATCCTAGAAACTATTTCCTAACTCCTGAAAACTATTTCTTAAATCCCGGAAACTATTTGTTAAATCCTGGAAACTATTTGTTAAATCCTGGAAACTATTCTTCAATCCTGGAAACTTTTGTTTTTAAATCTCAGAAACTATTTTTTAACCTGGGTCCGAAACCCAGAAACCATGTACAAAACGAGGATTGCTTTTACCAATCCCAACCGTTGGACAAGGATAGCAGTCAATCACTTGAAGTTTAGAAATTGCCCCAGGAGCCATGTTCTCAGCAAGAGAGAGAGGCTGCCAGGCTGTTGGCGCAGGCATTCTTCATTCTCTTTCGTTCTGTGTTCTTTGACTCTCCTCATCTCAGAATCAGTCACTGTTTCTTTCATACTTCTCAATTTGTAAAGAGTTTCAACATATCATAATGTATGTCTACTGTCTATTTGTCCACTTAGGTTCTATTTATCTTTATTAGTATATTGTCTTGTTTGATGGTTTAAAGCGAAGTAAGGGTATCACAGAAACCGTTTCAAACCGTTTCAAACCGTTTCCCGCTACTTGCGAGGTAATAGTCCGAAACCGTTTCAAACCGTTTCAAAGCAATCCTCAGAAGGCTTAACTTGCATTACTTCTTTAGTTTTTGATTAATGTATAATGTTTGGATATCTTTCAAAAGTTTCCTAAAACTGGATCTATTTAGGAAATAGTTTCTGTAAATTGGGTTTATTTAAGAAATAGTTTTTGCAAATTGGGTTTATTTAAGGAAAAAAATCTGTAAACTGGGTTTGTTTAAGAAATAGTTTTTGCAAATTAGGTTGATTTAAAAAATCATTTCGGTAAATTGGGTTTATTTAAGAAATAGCTTCTGGCCTCCACAGATAAAGAGGCCAAGACACGTCCCAATCGGTTATCATCATATCATGCTGCAAGAAAATGCTTTGAATGTATCTCGTCACGTTCCATCACATTTTGTGCTGTAGGGCTGGGTCGTTTACGCATGGATGGAGTAAACCCGTTAAGCGTGGATGGAATAAATTCGTGCGACGCCAGCATCATCGAAAGTTCGCTTCACCTAAATAGATCGCATTTGTTTATGTCATTTTATGTCCCAATCACCGGTCAAAATGTGCCGCCATCTTCACTGTAGAGCACCTGTCCCCCACTAGTCTGCATTTTTGTCCTGGTCGCCTTCCAAATTGGGAGGTGTCCTGTGCGGAATGACTCGTGCTTTCACACGCACGTCTTCGGACTTGTTTTTTATTGCAAAATGTTCCATGTTTGTCGTTTTTCATTTGTAGCCTTTCTCGGTTTAATTTCTATCCAGACGATGATAGGTCTGCAGTGAAAAGCTTGCGCTTCAGTCACTGGGGCGAGTTTTTTTCCATAACTATACAGCAATCCCCTAATCAGAGGGCCCCCTCAGGCATGCTACACCTCCGATGTCGTTCGCAAAGTCGGATTAGAATTAAAAACAAAAAAATCGTGCCCCGCTGATTATCCCAAACCTGTTTTCTGATTGTGATTTCGCTAGGTAGTAGGCAGGGACAATGGGAAATTTATGCGTGCATTTATGCGCACCCCTAAATTGATGACGCAGCGTTTGACAACATTTTCACCTTTAAGTGGCAAAATTTGAGGTAATTCGGAAGTTTTCTCACGAAATTTCCTTTGATAATCCAAATTTATTTTGTATCATTTCGGGCCATACGTTCGTCTAGCCTATATTGAGTCAGTCACAATACCTCACATTTTGCCACCATGAAAAAAAAGGGCGACAATAAGGAAACCGCTTCCCAGCTAAACCTTTTCCGAAAGTGGTGGCATTCAACATGTGGGAAGGCGGGGGAACGAAATTGGGCATGGTTCGGGCATACAAGACCCGAAGGCGGATTCGGGAGCACAATTGGTTGATGGCCAGCATGAAAAAACACAAAAGTTCGAAACTCATGCCGCAACAACGGAACAACGCGTGAAAAACAAATTACTTAAATATTCACATTTGAAACTGGCGATTTACTGACGCCCGACATTTGATGGCCATTAACAGCCCGTACAAATATCCGTCAAACGGTCCGTAACAAAATGTATTACACCAAAATCAAATACATTTTCTGAAGCAGAGTATCTTGGTTCTTAATAAATGCGCCTTGCATGCCCCAGGGGCGGCCCATTTAAGGCATAGATCGGGGGAAGCAAAAACAAATGATGTATCATTATATAAGTAAATACAGCGCGTTCACGACCACCTAGGCACAGGCAACAACGAAATTGTCCGTGAGATTGCCCTAACAATATCGTTGTTGCCTTGCATGCGCTTCATTTCCCAGTGCGTTTGTAGCTGCAAAATTCAGCCAATTTTGTGAATTGCGGTTTCAAATTTTTGGTGCTCAGAGAACCATTCCAAGGAACAAATTGTTTGATGCAGGGTTAAAAGGTTACATTGGTAATATACACTGCTAAATCCAAACGTAGTAAGACAAATGCGGTTCACTCATGTTCTTTCATTACAGAAAATGTATTTGCGCACGGTGGAATCCTTGATCAAAAACAAATCAGTCAACCTTACCGGCGACTTTTCCGTGAACCTCACCGTCAGAATTCTTAAGTCCGTCAACCTTGTCGTCACCCTTTCCGGGAGGCATCCCGCATGCGCCACGAAGAAACTCAATTTCATATGTTTGAATTTTGGATAAATTGTTGCCATACATTCAAACGGTGAAACGGTAATTTTCCAAACCGTTTCCGGCACCAAATAGGCCAAAATCCAAAATTTTCAGGCACTTCGTGCGCAGACCTTTTACTGTAGCTCAGCATGCAATGCAGACGCCCCAGCTGCTCGCCATGGTCCCCATCGGCCCATCAACCCACATTTTTTTTCAAAGTGTGGGCGCTGGCATCATCCTTAACGTGTTTTCACTGCAGCAGTGCGCTGTTTCAGGCACAGCAGTACAACGAATTTTCGATGGGTTCACTTTCAACATGGACACGTTCCTGATTCCAAGACGAAAAATGATGGTTGTGCCGCGCCATGACTATTTTTTCCATAGTCGGATAATCGCAACAATTTGGCATTGCATGCCTCAGCGGTTAGACAGGCGCAGGAAAAAAATCTCTTTAAAACAACGTTGCATCTGGATTTATTTTCGGGTGAACTCAAGCATTGTGGCGCCGGATTTTCAGTCCAAAATGCCATGAGGGAACATGATGGCAAAGAAACTTCATTGCTTGCAGACAAACAAGGGGGAGATGGCGAACACATGTGCATATGGTACAACTTGTTTGAACTCCCACTGGGGCGGTGTGAAATGAAGAATTTTGGCAATCCGCAGGAACCAATGTAGCAAAGCTAACACGGTGACTATGGTTAGTTTTAAAACTCAATTTCAAAACTCAACAAGTATGGTTACAAGTCCCATCAAATTAGATCACAACACCGTACAGCAAACTGCGCTATGTCATGGGTGTGGAATGTTCGTGTCCAGCTGTCAAGGCCTGAGTTATGCGAGTGTAAATGCATCACATGTGGAAACACCCAATGAAAGAAACAACAGCATGGAACGTGTTTTTTTTTTAACAGTTCTTTTCAACACGAATAGAACACACATGTGAAAACAACGGCGGAATTCTTGCAAATTGTGGGTCCTGGCGTTGTTGAATCGGTGATGAGTGGCCAAGGATTCCAGCTGCAAAGGCGTTGTTCCGAATGGAACCACAGGCTGGTTGCGCTGCTGAGCGTGGTGTATGGGTTTAAAAAAGGTAACAAAATACCAAACGTAGAGGCAACCTGGCGGCGTTTTTTTTTGCGTGTCCAAGTTTGATCCGTGCCCATGATGTTCACATGTTGCGAGGACCAGCTTTGCTCGTGGATTGGGGTCGTGCCCTTGGTTGATCAAATGCTGATATTGCGACAAGGTTCAGCACGGTTGTTGTTACTTGTGGCATCGGCCGGGTAGCTGGTCCTAAAGAATTGGCGTTTGATGAGTTTCCTGATTTGTTTGCCTGAACCACTTTGAAACTATGCCGGCTCTGGTGTGGCGTGTTTGGAATCTTGATCCTACACCCTCATGGTTTATCATCGTTTTCGATCATGTCCCTATATATTTTCAGTCCTTACTCATGGCCAGTTTGGAGCTTCCCATTGACGTCGCTAAGGCACCGGCCCTGATTTGTCGTCCGACCCAGAAGATGGCCTGCCGGTGACCCCGCAGCATGGGCTGCCAGTGACACCGCGAGGATTGGTGGCCTCGGGGGATCCCGGGGGCAGAAACCGGCTGCTTGATGCCAAGGTCCAGCCCCCTAATTTTAGACAGCCTGTCATATCCAAAAACAGCACAACATGCAGGGCATAGTGACATAGTGGCATAGTTATGAAGAACCGCATTGTTTATAGGCATATTGATTGCATTTGGAAACATTTGTGCATCCCCCGGTTGCAGCGGGGATGGCTTGCAAAACTTCCGTGCAAACCATGGTGCTCTGGGCGGGCGTTAGGCTTGATGGTGATCCCACCCTCCGATGAATCTCACGAAATCGCGCCTGAACGGCAAGCCCTGGTGTTTGTTTGCAGTCCTGGGGATGAACCAGGGCAGGAGTGGGGGAATTATCTGGTAAACCCTATGGCACTAGTAATAGCAATACATTTCTGGCACTCAAACATGGCCATGGAGGTTTCTTAATTTTTTTTGAAAATGCTGGAGCATTGTTTTTGGGATGGTTATGCATGGTTGATCTTCCATCGGCATCTTGGTGATAGGGCCGTAGAGTATAAGGATGTACAAGGCACGATGCATCGATGTGCCACTCCTGCCATGTGTGACAAGCTTCACAAGCCTCGCGCCCCAACCTGATGCATCTATTGGATATTGACGAATAACATTTTAATCCGGCCACAGTGGATCGGGCCAAACGTAAAGAGTTCCAAGGAAGGAACACATGGTCCTTCCAACATTTATGCACGGTTCTGCTATAAAATAGAACGATAACTATTTATATATATATATATTGATTGTTTTTAGTTTATGACCGTCATGGTTTATATTATCATTGTTATTATTGCTATTATGCATAGTTTCTTCAACTATGTAACAGATTACAATGTTAAAATGGACCGCAGCGTGTCGACCATATCGCCGAGGCATGGCAGGAATGGGAGGAGAAGTGGCCTCATTCCCAACTGATGCCGGGGCGCTGGTTCCCAGAGTTGGTATCACTGGGGTCCTTAAATTGCGATAGCCACCAGGTCCGCACTTTTTGGTCATTGGACGCATTTTGAGCATTAAACATGATCAAATACCATCCATTTTGAGGGTTGACCATGTTAGGTACATGTTGATTTTCTTGAACCGTACCCGGTTCAGAGGATCCAAAACCTGGTCCACCTTGCCAAGGTGCCCTTTGGAACCCACCGTGGTGGTTGATGGCCCTGAAGCCGACAGTGTGGCATTGAAAGCTGTTGGTGCGCCAGCTCGGATTCCCCAATGAAAGTCCATCAATGCCAACGTTCCCAACGGTTCCTTAATAAGCAATATACTGTGGCTGCAACATTCTCACTCTTGCGGGTCTTGAACCACGATTCCCCAGAAAGGCAAGTTAAAAGAGTCGAGCCATGGGCTTGGCTTGTCTTCATAAACGGGGCACCTGCCCCATTCTTCACAACCAATAGGTAGAGATTTGTGCCAAAAAAACGAATGGTGCCACACCAGCCCATCTCCCCATGCGAATCCCCAGACGAACCGGATCCTCCAGCCACGCCTGGAGCATTGAAGTTGCCGGCGGGCGAGGCGAGGACCGATGTTCGGAGGACCAACAAAAAATCAGCAAAAAGAATCAAAAAGATAGAATAGAACACATGAAAAAAACTAGTAACTAGTCATCAGATAATAGTAAATTATATTTTTATATATATATATATAGATATATGAATTTTCAATTTGTTAAGGAGTTCCTACGAATCATCCAATTTTTGGGGCAGCTGATTTTGATCCATTGCCCGCACCATTGCAGTGATGGGTTTCGAAGGGAGCCATCCGAGCTACCCTTAAATTCACGGTGGATTTATCACCCTTTCAGAATAATGGTGGCAGGCAAACACGAGTCACAATTTCACCAACCAACCAAGAACTGAGTTTCTGAGCGCATGGTATCTGCAAGCAGGTAAGGTTCAAACAACTGTAAGATTTTCAAGTTTGATTAGCGATGATTGTTTGATTGCTGGTTTCACATCTTTTATTCCACCATGTTTGGGATGATGATCCCCAATGACTCATGTTTTTCAGGGCTTGAAACCACCAACCACTTGTGGTGGGTCAATGAACCTTCCCATGGCATCCCATGGCCAGGATGTCGTTGGTGTGCCAGATGGCGATCGCCATGTGCCGCCTGCAGAGGATGTGGCGGAGAAGCTTCAAATGGCCGAGGCGACCGTGGGGATTTAGGCCAGCCCCGGGCGCTACCACTGGGCTTCCGCGTTGTGGATTTTCATAAGACTTTTGGTGACTGAAAAGACTTGATAATGGTAATGTCTTTAATAGTTAATACCTATCCATAACAATGTGCCATATGGTATGATGACATGATATGATATGATGAAACTCGAGAAGCTACAGCAGAAAAATGCAGAAAACCTGTACACGTAAATGTATTAGTGTTGTTTCCCTGCCGGGTGAAGGTCGCCAGTGAGGATTTCTAGATTCCATGATTTCTATGTCAGTTTGCTCCTTCCTCCTCTTCTTCCTCCCCTTTTGCAGGTTGTGAATGGTTTACTGTCACTACCATGGGCGACTTTTGCTGTGTTGATGCCTCGCAGGCGGATGCCAGGCAAGAAATTTCATCGTTTTCACCGTTGATCCTCCACCACATCTCTGCTTACATGGTGGAGGAGTGATTGGCTTAGGATTTGTTTTTTTGGTTGTGGAGGGCGCCATGAGCACAATGATGGAAAAGACCAAGGCATGTGTGAAAGGAGGTTGCATGAGGTAACGTTTTTGAAAGTCAAGTCAGGCATAGGAGAGTCCTCATAAACATCAACCAACACAAAGGTCGTAAGTGTTCGATGCCCTGTGACAAAGTTGAATTGCAGTTCATCAGACTCATCCCCCAAGGCTAGAAGATCAAGGTGCTCCTGTGGCTGTTTCCAAGAGGACCTGTCGCGCGATTGCTGGACCAACCTTGTTATTTTTTGGCAGGGGCCATTCTGAGTCAATTATGGTCCCTTCCCCCAAAAATGCACACACACACACATATTTATATATATATATACATACATATACATACATATACATACATATGTATATATATATATATATGTATATATATATGTATATATATATGTATATATATATATATATGTATATATATATGTATATATATATGTATATATACATATATATATAAGTATATATATACACATATATATATATTTATACTCATATATATTTATGTTGGTATATATGTATATGTGTGTGTTTAACATGAATGCCTCCAAACTCCAAACCGAAACCTTGGTGTATTAGATCTAGCCATTTTGCTGCGCCACATCTAAGACCGGAGTTGATCCACGTCCCCGGCCATAGGAAGTCCACGCCGCGGGACGGAACCGGCAGATACGAAGCCAGCAGCCTGATTTTGTGGTGAAACAGACGTCGCAGCCAGCGAAGCCGTGGGTTGGGAGTGTTTTTTGAGATGCCCCTGGGGGTTGGGTGGAGAAAAACATATGGTACTGATGATGATATATTATAATGTTTTGAACTTTTCATAGATGGCTTTTGGTGGGCGTCTATGTTGGACTGAATTTTTGGTATTTTTGTGAGTTGACGATGAACATGCAGAATAATGTAGCTTTTTGGTGATGGAGATTCCGTAACAAAAACTTGGTTGGGCAACCCCAAAGGGACCGAGTTGTTTTGAACCTCAATCATTGGTTTTGAAGCACCTTAGATCCAGCCTAACCCACCCCCACCCCAGACCTGATACCCATACTCCAAGAATGGGGGCCGAAAGGTGTGCCGTGCGCCTTTCCCCCTATGGCTTCAGGGAAAACCATCATGAACTGCAAGCCAGTTTGCAAGCCGCAACCAGAGCTATCAATAGTCAGTGTGCCTTGCCGCTTTCATGGCTTCAGCCCAAGATCAGATGAGACCACCCCAGCCAACCATTTGAGCCGAAAAACTGGTGTCATCTTCGGCCATGAGAGCCCTGGATCCCCGCAGGCCCGGGGCCCTGGGAAGATTTGTGGTGACCGTGCGACTTCCATCCTCCATAGTAAATTAGGCCGGTCGGACGGAGCGAGATAAGAGGTGCGGGGAGGGGGCTGTTGGGGCGGATGGATGTGGGTTCTTGAGACCGAAATGCCTGAAACAAAGGTGAAACAACAAGAGTAACTATAGAAACAAAGCAAGAAGCTTGAAACCGCCAAAGGTCACCAAAAAAGGTCCTTTCAATTTCCCACTAATGAACGCATTCACATCCAGGTACGCTGTGCAGTACAGCTTATGAGCTGGCAGGTTCTTGGGGTTCCCACCGGAGCACCTGGAGGCCACACGCTCAACAACGTGGGACCGAAGGCCAGGCACATCTGTGCGGTCCAAGCCGCCAAAGCGGTTGATGGCAGAAGGAAATTGGATAGAACATGGTGATTTAAGCATATTCTAGATCTTCATTTGCCGGAATTTTCCCTCAAAACATCCAGGGTGTTGGGACTTCCTCATTCCCCCAATAAAAAACCGGAACATCCCCATGTTTCAACATGTTTCAACGCTTCCAGGTCCAGCACTGCTGCTGAGCTTGGCCACCGCTCTGCCCCGCGCGGGCGGCCTGCGGGGCCCACGGGGCCCGCAGGGCCCGCGGCCGTAGCCGTCACCACAAGCAGTGCTAAATAGGCATGGGCAGCTGGGAGGTGTTGATGGATGGACCACCATTTTTATGGGTAGGATTTCAACCATCCCCAAGTGGTAGGTTTATGATTGGTTGCCCACGTTACATTCTTCTTCCCCATTCAATTTTTAGAGAATGATCCTAAAAACATCTAAAGACCACAGTTTTTTTTTTCTGGGGGGAGAATTGAACAATGGGTGAGAGCTCATGGATTAAATCTGAAGATGGTGAAGGGTCTGCACGCCCACCTGTCATTTTTTGGCTAAAGTCATGGCTGAAAGTGGACTGCAGAAGCAAACATATTTGTCAGAAGATGAACTGTTTAATGCCGCATTGAGGTAGCCATTGAACTCCAGAGACAGCTGAGCAGGGACGGTGGTCAAAATCCTGATTCAACCGGACAGCTAAAGATTTTATTATAGGCGTCCTCCTATATGGCAATCGCTGCAAGAATCCCTTACTCCTAACATCAAGTACCTTCCCAGAAGCCTATGGGGCTTGTTCATTTTGGGGATTCAACATAAGGGGAAGGGATTCTTTCGCAAGGTAGCTGGCATCTGCAACTGCTGAAGGCATTTTGGAGCTTTGCTCCAGGCCGGTGGTGGATTCATATGCATATGAGATCAACCATACAAAAGCTGTAAATGCCCTTCAAGTGAGGCTTCAAACTTATTGGTGTGAGTCAGCCTCACTAACCTCTATTATATGGATTAATATTTGTTTATTTACGTATATATATATATATAGTATATATTCAGTTTTAAGTGTGTTAGTAAGGTGTGGTTCAAACTACACAACTATTGGCCCTCAAAAGTGACTCCCAATTTGTTTCGCCATAGCCACTCTGACGTCAGCATGGTGGAGGAGGCATGGGGAGTTCAACGGCGTGAACCTGGCGACTGCGATGTTTCGCCTGGCCAAAGGTGGGGTTTCAGATGCTGGAAAGTGGTAGAAATGCAGGTGGCGCAAGTGGTTTCAAGTTGCCACACAAATATCCAGACACACACACAACAGATGATATACTGTATAATAATATATAATATGTGTATTATATGTATGTATATATATATATACAGGCACACACACATATATATACATACACATATTTACACATACATGTTTACATGTTTACATGTTTACATGTTTACATGTTACATATGTATATGTATATGTAATATGTAATATGTAATATGTAATATGTAATATGTAATATGTATATGCATATGTATATGTATATGTATATGTACATATGTATCAATACCTATGTATGTGTATATATATATATGTATAAATATATATTATCCAATATCTAATATTCATATATTGATTAAGAGCCGCAGGTAAACGAGCCACAGGTAAACTAAGGGTTAAATAGTGGCAAATGGTGGTAAAATCATGGCAAATGATGACTTAGGCAATGAATACTGGTCTTCCCAAAGTTGTGCCAGACAGAGGCAGCGAGGCCAAACATATAATCAAATAGTGGCAAATGATGGCAAATTGCTTTTCCATTTGACCAGGGCAAATTATGGCAAATCATGGCAAATAAGAGACAAACGGTGGCTAAGGTCCTGCAGATTACTGTATTCTTGCCACGGCTCCTTTAGCCATGGCTCTAAACTTTTATATGAAATATCTAGTATCTAATATCTAATATCTACATCTATATCTATACCTATATAATGTTTGTGTGTATTTTCATTTTCATATGCGTGCAAAGGCAAATGCCAATACATGCGGGTGTCTTTACATGTGTGTTCGATTGCGTTTCATATTCCAAATCCCTTAGTTCGGATGGTGCCACGTCACTCGGAAGCCGCATGAGTCCAGGCTGCACTATGGAATCGCAGAACGCAGAGGTCGAGGGTGTCAGCAACAGTGTGTTTTTTTTAGATGACCCGGACCAACGTTGCACTTTGGAGGTAATCTTTTGGCAACCCAACGTGGCAAGTTTGGACATTCTGTACTACTTTTAATCATCTGTGGAAGTGAGGAACTTCCTTTTTCAGCCATGCTTCTCTACCAGTAGTTGCAGACTTTGAGCCACATGGCCATGTTCTGCTGCAGCATTGGTGCGATACCAAGGCTGCGCTCGTTGTCGCGCAGCTACTTGAGGACATTCGCACGAGACTCAAGGGCAACTTGACCTCGGAATCTGACAACGACCCATGTCTCGGGAGACTCCTCAGTGCGCGCAGCCGCTGCGGCCAGGTGCAAACATGAAATCCTTTGGAGTTGCTTGGCAGCGTTGATAGGTCTTTGAACGCTGAAGAGGCAGCTGTGGCCCACTTCATCTTAGGGATTGCAAGTGGTATGGGGTGAGCTTATCCCCTTTCGGATTCCTGATTCACGGCAATGGCACAGGGACTCTTGTAGTCTGAAACGCTGCAGGCGCAGGCTGTTGCGAACACGGCTGGGCGCTCTGTCACTGGCGTTCTGTGAGTTGTCTCGTGGCAGGGATGGTCGCAACTGTCACCTCAGTATGGGAGCGTTCGAACAGCCATAGATGACCAGAAACATATCATTATATAACAATAATAATCATGATATTACGAAGAGTAGTAATAACAGTAACAATAATAATAGTAATGATAATAGATAAATGGCTATATATATAATATGAATAAAAATAAGCAATACAATAACTATTCAATACATATGTATATATATATATATATCTGTGTGTAATGTTCGAAGATATGGAGTGGTTTGTTTCTCCTTGGCAGCTTGACTTTGCCCTGCAGGCATGAAGCTTCACCAGGATGCGTGTGACTGATGGGCCTTTGTTGGCTTGAGCCTCGGGGTGGTTCAGCTGCAAGGGGCCCTGGAAAGAGAACTCCCTTGTGTGTACACAGATTGACGTTGCCACTCTGACATTTTCCAGCATTTGCTGCGATTTTTCACGATATTTTGACGAGGGTCCCCTTTTTCCTTGTTTTTTTTTGTCGGCTTGGCGCCCTGCAGTATATCATCTCGGCAGGCTGGGTGCCGTGGGCTTCCCATTTTGCCCAGGTCGCCGCAAGGCAAGCCGCGGTGAGGCAATCACCAGAACTCAACCCGCAAGGTGGGCAGGAGCAGCTGGGCAGAGCCATGGGATGCGTCAACCCCTCTGGCGGAGGTTTGTCCAACATTGCCTGGGAGTTTACCACGTGTGGATCTTGGCTCCATGGCATACTGGCAAACGAAGAGCTGATCATTTGCGTGTCCGGAAACGGGAGATGCAGTACAGGGATGCTCAAAACCTAGATGGGTCTATTCCTATTGTGATCGTAGTAGGAACCAAAGCTGCAGAGAAGACACTTTTAGGAGAATTCATGGGGTCATTCCAATATTGAGCCATCATGGTTCCATGCGTGTGCTGCAGCCTGAGGCTGGAGTGTTTGGACACACCTGCCAGTGTTTCGCCTAGCTGAAAGACATTCAGAATGTTTGATTGCCCATTTGACATTGGTACTGGCTAAAGTCATGTATAGTATTGTGCCCCCAAATTCGGAGTAAAATTGGATCCATGACTGCACTGAAGGCGATGGAAAGTACCCAAACGTGCCCAAACTTATCAATTTGTCTTTATATGTATCGTCGATTTTTTTGGGGAAATCCAATAATACATTTTTATTGGGGAAAAAGGGCGGTAACCCCAACATACCCAAACATACCCAAACTATTTATGAACAGTTCCCATTCCTAGCCCACTTTGGGTCACATACTACCTTTAGGTGCAGCCTTGGCAGCTGCTGCGCGCTGCAGGGTGTGAGAGTTCAAT